TCTTTTCTTTTTTTTTCTTTTCTTTTTTTTTCTTTTCTTTTCTTTTCTTTTCTTTTCTTTTCTTTCTTTTCTTTTCTTTCTTTCTTTTCTTTCTTTCATCTCTGCCTGTCCCTGGCTTGTGCACGTGCGTGCTCGCTCTCTCTCAAAAAATAATAAAACTATGAAGTGGTGATACATGATTTATACAACTAGTTAACAGAAAACTAAGAAAAGCCCTTGTTAGCTTGAATGAAGTAAAATGAAAGTAAGATTGCTTTAATCCAAAAAACCCCAAATTCTAATGCATTATCAGAAAGATTTTCTAATATAAGGAGACATTACTTATTAAGAAGGAGTTTGGTAAGAAAAGCACTTACTCAGTTAACAACTTTGGGAATAATCAGTTAGTTCAAAGGGGTATTAAATGCCCAGTTTGGGGGGAAATGTCAGGTGCAAGAAAAAGGAAAAGTGGAGGAAACAGTTTCTGATAATACAAGCCTTTCTTCATGTACTGCATTTGACAGAAATTAACCTTTAAAAAAAGTCCCCCCCACTGTTTTATTTAGTTTAACTATTCCATGTACAGTATAGTTTAAACTAATTTCCACTACGTATCATGTCAGAAAACTGTCTTATCCTTTGATCACATCAAGTGTTTGACACATTCGACTCCAGTACACCTGCACCTAAAGGCAGAATACTTCATTCGAGGAAATATGTGAATTGAATTCCTGTTCAAAATCTCAGCAAAGGTTAATAAACTCTTTTAAAAATGCTTTTCATGACAAAATCAAGAAGAGTGATCCAAAGAAAAGGGTTTTTATGTATTATTTTTAAATTGAAGTATAATTGACAGTGTTATATTAGTTTTACTGTGTTACGTATATTGCAGTGTATTCAGTATATGTGGTATATATTCAGTGTATTAAAATACAGTGACTCGACTTGTATATACCTGTATATTACTTGTATATACCTTGTATATTACTTTCTTGTATATTATATTACTTGTATATACCTTGTATATTACTTTCTGAAATAATCACCAAGATAAATCTACCTACCATCTGTCACTATACAAAGTTATTTAATATTTTTGACTGAATTCCCTATGCTGGACATTGTACCCCTCATGTCTTAACTTATTTTATAACTGAAAGCTTGTACCTTTTACTTCCCTTCCCCTATTTTGCCCATCCCCTTCCACCCCATACAGTAGATTGTTGTGTAATGAGCATGGGTTGATGAATTATTGAATGTGTTAAATGGCAGTGTTTATTTAAGGAGACTGTACCGCTTTACGTACGGAAAACTAGTTAGAAGGTATATGCATTTCCTCACGTCAAGCTACAGTCTTACAGGCAAAGGCATTTAAAAACTAGTGCTTGGGGCGCCTGGGTGGCGCAGTCGGTTAAGCGTCCGACTTCGGCCAGGTCACGATCTCGCGGTCAGTGAGTTCGAGCCCCGCGTCAGGCTCTGGGCTGATGGCTCAGAGCCTGGAGCCTGTTTCCGATTCTGTGTCTCCCTCTCTCTCTGCCCCTCCCCCGTTCATGCTCTGTCTCTCTCTGTCCCCAAAATAAAAATAAACGTTGAAAAAAAAAATTAAAAAAAAAAAAAAACAACTAGTGCTTACTGTGGACAGCACATCAATGCAACTAGGTTCAGAAAGTACTTTGGCAACTCTTAGTCTGAGCACGAATAAGGGCTTTGGAAAAATAAGGCGGTAAGAAGGCTTGTCATTTTAGGATCAAATTTTAATAGATGTTGAAAGTTCAAACTCTTAGACTTTAAACAAAACTGTGAAATTTATTGGCTCAAAATGATTCTATGGAAACAACTAATCTGAAACAAAACCTTGGCATTGAAATTTTGAGCAAGTGTACAAAAGTTCCAAGTAGGACAGGACACGGAAGGCCTGGGCTCTGCAATTTACAACAGCATGCATTTTCTCCTCTTCTTGTCATAGAGGGTGGGCAAGGTTGTTTGAAAACAAAGTATTCTCTTCTTCAGGAATGGAATGTGAAATGAAGCTATTACATTAATATTGTTAATTATATACATCTCTTTCCTTAGTTTTTGAGTATTTGATCTGTCAGGGGTCGATAAGAGTTGTAATTTGTCCCTACTATTGATTTTTGTTTTCTGTCTCATAGTTTTTTGTTTTTATGTATTTGCATGCTGTTTTATTTGATACAAATCATAATGACTTTAAATTCAAGATAGAGTAGAGAACATACAATTTACTTTTTTTGCCCTTTCAAAATCACATTGAGGAAGAAATAGAAAAATAAATTCAGGGAAACAAAAGAACCTGATAGGTATGTTACTTGCAAACCAAAATATGATAAATTTCTGGTTGAATAAAGCACTTGGGAATCAATTCATGGCAAAACCCTAGAGAGCTTAGTGGCCTTGTTCAGAAAGCTGGAAGGACCATCCAAAAATTATATTCTGCATTACCCCCAGTGTCCAAAGCAGGCATGTCCTAGGAGGAGCAAGCCTTGGGCACAGCCAGATAATTAAAGGTATGAAAAGCTAAGTCATTTACCTATTAGTATAGGTGTCTTCTAGTGTGGGTTTCCTCCTGAGAGAATGCCAGAAATTCAACTTTCTGATTTGCAAATTCGTCCATAGGAAATTCCAAAGTAGGTCCTGTGGGGAAAAAGGAACAGTGCTTTAGGTAGCTTGTGGCTATCCTGAGGGATGGCGGACTTCCAGTACCAGGAAGATGGGATACTTGCCCACCGTTAAAAAAAAGCCTGGCTGGTTGCATGGCTCCTTTGTCTTCCTTGGACTCATTCTTCTAGACTCTAGACCTCTAAATGTGGTCATAATTTAGGTTCATTGCAAGCGAAGATTCTCACTTAAGCTGGGTAAATATAACCTAGCTATCAGAATGTAACTCTGATTTAGATCTTCATCTACAGATATGAATGGACAACCTAGAAGAATCATGCTTTTGAGGAAAACCAGCAGCCTGAAAGAGAGGCACCAAATCCAACTGACTGAATAATGAGACAGCAGAGGAGACAGTTTAATATAGAACACAGAATTAACTTTAAATCTTCAGAGACATTTGGTAAGATACTGTATCCACTAAAAGAGAAAAGATTGCTGTGAAAAAGTTTATTTTGATATTAAAATATGACCTTTTAGATAAAGTTCAGTAGATAGAGTGAAAATCATGGTAGTTAGCTTAGAAGAAAGAGTTGAGGGGTTCTGAGAATGTAGTACAAAGAATATATGAGAGGAAAATTAAGGTAACATGGAGGCTAGTTTTAGGAGTCCTTGCATCCTACAGTAGAAATTCTAATATGAATGAACAGAGAAAATGGAAGAAAGTATAGAAACAACAGAAGAAAATTCCTTGAGTTCAAGAAAAACTCAAGCCTTGGGGGGGGGGGGCCCCCCCCGCGGGGGGGGGGGAGCCAGGGGGGGGGCGGAACGCACCA